CTGTTCTTGAACTAAATTGAATCAACACTGACTTGAGTAGAAAAAACTTGACGACAACAAACTCTACAAGAAACGGGTGTTGTTTCTAAGAGTTGCATGACAAAATGAAAACAAAATGTGTTATAGAATCGTCTTAAAATATCAAATGTTTGATATCCTCTGATTGGACAGATTCATTGTCTAAAGCTAAATACAGTATGCGATTGTATGCAAAATATTTCTGATTTTATGTCGACTCATCCAGACTGTATATGGGCCAAAAATTGTATAGTATATTCCATCCTTAAGTCGGCTTGCATATTCAATCTGGGCCTGGTTATGACAAACTGATTGACTGTAAACTTGTTGGTACACTTAGCTGGTGATATTTGCATGCTACCTTACACTGAGCACATACTATCAGTGTTGGTGTAAACAAATGTAACCCTTTTTATATGCAATCGATGTGTTATTGAATGTATCTTATTTGATATACCATTGCCTGCTATATGTCCTGAGGAAATGCCTCTGGTCAGAGGAGGTCAAAAGAGTGTAAAATGTCACTGCAAATTCAATCATTCTCCGCAGTTTGCTGAGCTACACGACAACTTAATTAAACGAACACATTCAGATCCTCTGAAGAAAAACGTGTGTGCAGAATCGATCGTCTTACAAGGGCAGTGCTAGGGCTTACGAAGACATCTCCCTAATAAAACCCAACTAAATGGGGAAAGCAGAAAGCTTGAAATGGCGAGACGTATTGACGGCATATTGATGACCTGGGTTATGAGGTCACAGTGATTTCCCTGGGAAGACAGTGCTAAAGGTTAAACTATCCCTATTAATTGCTCCATCAGGGCATCTATCAATGGTCACGGCTTGAAGTGTGTATATAAAGGTGTTGATGTGGACATGTGAAGCTGTACGTGCTCTGATGTCGGTGGGAGTTACTACAACAAAGCTTTTGTTTGTCGGTTCTCTGCAGCTGAAAGGTCCATGAATATCCCAGGAGGCAGAGAGAGGCAACAGCCGTTAGAAACCTCTGTAGATTTGGTTCTCCATGAATAATATCACAGTGGGACTTTGCAATAGCACAAGCATTGCATTTGCACATAAATGCACCTCTCTCATGAGAACCCTTACACAACCCAGCAAGTGCACGACACCCTGAGTTTGTTTACTTCCAGAGATAGACGACCACCCACGGCCACTGAGCGTGGGTTTTTCTGTATATATAGAAATATGAAGAAAAAAATAATATCGCTGTGAAAACAGAGCAGATAGAGATAGGAGCAATGAGAAAATTCTGCTAGAGCATGACCTTCAATTTATACGCTCATAAAGATAATGGGGATTGAGGTGTGTGTGTGTGTGTGTGTGTTCAATAATTTATTAAACGATCATGAAGTTGCACTGCTGTTCACTGGTCATCTGCAAGGACAGTTCAAATGGAAGATGATAAAACACAATCTAGGGTAAAATTACTCTAAATACTCTAGTTTGTATTAAATAAGTATAGTAAAAAATGCAAAAAGCTCTGTAACTTTTTACTTTAAAGAATGGCTTGCTTCTAGTCAACAGTTTCATTGCTAATCATATGTTTAATTTATGGATACACAAAAAATGATTCAGAAAATTAACATAAATTATATCCAGAATCGTATGTTTTTAATCAGAGACAAGTTTATGTAAATCCTTGCCAATATATGTAGTTTAATGACCATAAAAGATGCAACAAATGTCAGAATCCATTATTGAGTGCAATTTTAATGCATATTAAAACACTTCAACCACAGATTAAAACTGGGTTTAATTCATTAAAAATGTTAACTCTGAAGTCATGGGTATATTTCAACAGAATTCAGCGATGTGGCTCTTGTGGGAAATGTGCCTGTTGCAACATTTATGACAAATGATATGACATTGCTTTTGGACATTTAGCGACACTTTCAAAAGTGAAATGTGCCTAAAATGCTGTACCAGTTGAGCTACCAAGTTTACCAAAGCCAGACATGTCATGCACATGTCAAAATGCATTACATTATAAATCATGCATTAAAAATGCTCTGAGGTCATAGCATAATATTATGCAAAGAACCACATGAAAATAAGTCTTAATTAATTAATTAAGATCTACAATAAAATACAGTATTTGACAAATTCCTGTAAAAATTAAACTGTCAGAGAGTTTTGTGAGATTTACCTAGTTGCAAATAATTCATTTATGCTTGCTCAGTGCGTTGAGGACTACAGTACATATTGCAAATATTTTATTTTATTATAGTTTTTATTTTTTAGTGACATAATTATGTATGGAGGGAATCAACTCTGGATAGTAGTGATGGGTTTGGGAATATGTGTGTTTTGTGGCCATCAGCCAATCAGCATTGACTCCAGAGTGGTTCGTCACATGGCATTTACAGCTCAGGTAGCTCAAAAACGTTTATGGTCCCACAAGGCAGAATTCAGCATGAGAACTGCCATTGAGATACACTGAAGTGTTTCCTCTCTTGGTATTAAAGAGCTCGTTGATTAAAAAAATAATAATAAAAAATGTGGTCACAATATGCAGCTAATTTTGAATAGATGTCAATGGGAAACCATGCATTATACAGAATGTAATATCTGCATCTACCAGCAGATGTTGACTATCTGTACTAACCAGCCAAACCTTGACCTTCTGGGTAGGAATTAATTATACACCTTGGGCCTTATTTGTAAAACACAAGCACTGATAAAGCACTGATTTCTGTGTAAATTATTCATAAATCCATTTCTATTGAACCGAGCGCATCAATTTACGTTCGTCCTGCTTGTGTTTCATGAATGAGGCCACTCTTTGCTCTTTATTTTGTTCTACTAGCACTAAAAAGCTTCCTTTCTTTGTTATTTCACTTCACTTCCCCAAAGGGAGAAAGATTTTGGAAATTGCAAGTTCACTTTATTCCAATTTCAACACATGGCATGTTATAATCACGACTTCCAAAGCTCGCAGGAGCACTTACACTGTGGCGGCATCTCAAAGCATCATCACATAAATGTCGGAGCATTCAAAAGCCAAAATCTGACCTTGAGGTAGCGATGGCCTCTACTGTACACTCAACATCATATATTGGCTTCACAGTCCATTAGGTATTAATCTCTCCGCGCTTTTGTCGAGACCTATTTGTTTGACACCTCCTCCCTGCAAACGTCCTGTATCCTTCCTTTCCTCTAACCTCTCCTTCACTATTATCAGCCTATTTCAATCTGTATTCTGCTACTGAACACATGCAAGTCCTTGACTATTTTCCTTGGGAATATTGCGTTTTCAGATTCACTGCCCATTTCTTTCCTTCCCCTTTCAAGGACGAGGAGCAGTGTGCCACCCGCCCCTCTCTGCACTCCTCGTGTTTGCTGCTTTACTCAATCTTGTGTTTGATTGTCAACAGCAGCAGGTCTATTCTCCGTTCTCAGATGTAAGATATCAAAAACAACAGTCTGTGCTCATTCATATGCTTAGTCTGCCACCATTTTGTTAGCCAAGTGCTACAAATGTGAGTAGAAAATCAAAAAGCTTCTGGTCTGTATTAAAACAGGGCATTAAAAGCACCCAGAGCAACCTGGAATGTGGATAAGGGTGATTTTTGGTTTTCTGCTTTACTGTTGGACACATGGTGGCTTGGTGGGCAGCACTGTCACGTCACAGCTGAGTCTTGGCTTTGATTTCATACATTTTAGCTTACTGTTAAGATAAATCACTAAAACCTCTCTCTAAACGTTCTCTATTAAGCGTTGTCTCTATCAAGCCTTGTATGGTAGAGCAAAGGCATGGCACAACAACAGGTGACATAATTTTAACTATTTCTTAACTATTAATTCTTATAAATTTTAGAGCTGAATATATTCCTCAAGCTTAATCCTGTTACCACAAATACTACTACTACTAACAACAACAACAATAATAATATAGTTTATTATAAATTATTTATTTTTAAGTTAACAATAACTACAAACCAACATTTGCAACCTATGCTACCGTTCAAATGTGAAAGGGTTTGCTACGACTTTTCTTTTCTTTTTCTTTCTTTTTAAATAAATAAATACTTTTATTTAGCAATGCATTAAATTGATCAAACTTGACAGAAATCCTTTGTAACATTATAGATGTCTTTACTATTCAAATAAATACTGTTATACTTTTTGTATTCATCAAAGAATCCTGAAAAAAATGCATCACGGTTTCCGCAGCACAACTGTTTTCAACATTCATATTAATATGAAATGTTTCTTGAGCAATATTAGTTCCCAATATGAAATGTTTCTTGAGCAATATTAGTTCCCATTTGAGGGAACTCAGTGCTGCGTCAGTTGCTGACGCTATGGGAACGCCTTCATTGTGCGCTGGTGTCTGAAGCATGTGTAAAAACACGCCTATTCATTGACAGAGGCAGTCATGTGACCCTGGCATGAATATAAAGGCACGCCTGTGATAGACGTGATAGAACAGCTTCTTTGTCTTCAGGATGCTATCTGTGTGTTGTTAATCTTATTTATCATTGTCTGTCCCAACGATTATATAAGATGGAAGCAAGCAACCATACATTTAGAAAGTGTGCATCGTTCATGCAATTAAAAACTGAGAAAAAAAACACAATGGGCCTCATTTATGAAACAGACGTAAAACAGAAAAATAGGTGTACGGTCGTTTCCATGCAAAACTTGGCATTTATCAATATCTCGCATCAGGTCTCAGCTTGTGTACTCAAGTTTTTGAGTTAGCGTGAACTTGCGTGCAGCATAGTAAATCTGGTGGAGAATTGAAATGAGATTATTTTGTTCATTTAGATCTTCCTGACCAACAACCACAGTTCAATTGGTCATTAACTATTAAGATCAGAATGTCAAATTAAAATTAAATTAAATTAGAATAGATGGGGGTCTGTGACCCCTTTTTTCCAGGGACTTTATCTTTATATACGCAAACGCACCCTGGAGTTCTGGAGTTCAGGAGGTCATGGGCAGGTAAGCATAGGAAGCCTTCAGGGTGGTACCCGACATGCAGGTGACCATGGTAGATTTGGCAGTTCAGGCAGCATGGGCGGAACCAGCAGCTTGAGGGACCAGGGCGGAGCCAGCAGCTTGAGAGCCCAGGGCGGAGCCGGCAGCTTGAGAGCCCAGGGCGGAGCCGGCAGTTCGAAAGACCAGGGCAGGGCCGGCAGTTCGAGAGACCAGGGCGGAGCCGGCAGCCTGAGAGCCCAGGGCGGATCCGGCAGTTCGAGAGACCAGGGCGGAGCCGGCAGCTTGAGAGCCCAGGGCGGAGCCGGCAGCTTGAGAGCCCAGGGCGGAGCCGGCAGTTCGAGAGACCAGGGCGGAGCCGGCAGCTTGAGAGCCCAGGGCGGAGCCGGCAGCTTGTGAGCCCAGGGCGGAGCCGGCAGTTCGAGAGACCAGGGTGGAGCCGGCAGCTCAGGGGACCAGGGCGGAGCCGGCAGCTCAGGGGACCAAGGCAGAGCCGGCAGCTCGGGGACCAGGGCAGTACCAGGGCAGAGCCGGCAGCTCAGGGACCAGGGCAGTACCAGGGCGGAGCCGGCAGCTCGGGGGATCAGGGCAGTACCAGGGCGGAGCCGGCAGCTTGAGGGACCAGGGCGGAGCCTGCAGCTCGGGGGACCAGGGCAGTACCAGGGCAGAGCCGGCAGCTCAGGGACCAGGGCAGTACCGGGGCGGAGCCGGCAGCTCGGGGGACCAGGGCGGAGCCGGCAGCTTGAGGGACCAGGGCGGAGCCTGCAGCTCGGGGGACCAGGGCAGTACCTGGGCAGAGCCGGCAGCTTGAGGGACCAGGGCAGAGCCGGCAGCTCGGGGGACCAGGGCGGAGCCGGCAGCTCGGGGGACCAGGGCGGAGCCGGCAGCTCGGGCATATAGTTTCTGGACACTGGACGGGGACTGGAGTCATCTCTGGACACTGGACGGGGACTGGAGTCATCTCTGGACACTGGACGGGGACTGGAGTCATCTCTGGACACTGGACAGGGACTGGAGTCATCTCTGGACACTGGACGGGGACTAGAGTCGTCTCTGGACACTGGACTGGGACTGGAGTCATCTCTGAACACTGGACGGGGACGGGAGTCATCTCTGGACACTGGACTGGGACGGAGACTGGAGTCACCTCTGGACTTTGGACAAGGATGGAGACTGGAGTCACCTCTGGACACTGAACGGGGACTGGAGTCGTATCTGGACACTGGACGGGGACTGGAGTCATCTCTGGACACTGGACAGGGACTGGAGTCATCTCTGGACACTGGACGGGGACTGGAGTCATCTCTGGACACTGGACAGGGACTGGAGTCATCTCTGGACACTGGACGGGGACTAGAGTCGTCTCTGGACACTGGACTGGGACTGGAGTCATCTCTGGACACTGGACGGGGACTGGAGTCGTCTCTCGACACTAGACTGGGACGGAGACTGGAGTCACCTCTGGACTTTGGACAAGGATGGAGACTGGAGTCACCTCTGGACACTGAACGGGGACTGGAGTCGTCTCTGGACACTGGACGGGGACTGGAGTCATCTCTGGACACTGGACAGGGACTGGAGTCATCTCTGGACACTGGACGGGGACTGGAGTCATCTCTGGACACTGGACAGGGACTGGAGTCATCTCTGGACACTGGACGTGGACTGGAGTCGTCTCTGGACACTGGACTGGGACGAGTCATCTCTGGACACTGGACGGGGACTGGAGTCGTCTCTCGACACTAGACTGGGACGGAGACTGGAGTCACCTCTGGACTTTGGACAAGGATGGAGACTGGAGTCACCTCTGGACACTGAACGGGGACTGGAGTCGTCTCTGGACACTGGACGGGGACTGGAGTCATCTCTGGACACTGGACAGGGACTGGAGTCATCTCTGGACACTGGACAGGGACTGGAGTCATCTCTGGACACTGGACGTGGACTGGAGTCATCTCTGGACACTAGACTGGGACGGAGACTGGAGTCACCTCTGGACTTTGGACGAGGATTGAGACTGGAGTCACCTCTGGACTCTGGACGAGGACGGAGACTGGAGTCACCTCTGGACTCTGGACGAGGACGGGGACTGGAGTCATCTCTGGACACTGGACAGGGACTGGAGTCATCTCTGGACACTGGACGTGGACTGGAGTCATCTCTGGACACTAGACTGGGACGGAGACTGGAGTCACCTCTGGACTTTGGACGAGGATTGAGACTGGAGTCACCTCTGGACTCTGGACGAGGACGGAGACTGGAGTCACCTCTGGACTCTGGACGAGGACGGAGACTGGAGTCACCGACGAGAATGGAGACTGGAGTCATCTCTCGACACTAGACTGGGACGGAGACTGGAGTCACCTCTGGACTTTGGACAAGGATGGAGACTGGAGTCACCTCTGGACACTGAACGGGGACTGGAGTCGTCTCTGGACACTGGACGGGGACTGGAGTCATCTCTGGACACTGGACAGGGACTGGAGTCATCTCTGGACACTGGACGGGGACTGGAGTCATCTCTGGACACTGGACAGGGACTGGAGTCATCTCTGGACACTGGACGGGGACTGGAGTCATCTCTGGACACTGGACGGGGACTGGAGTCATCTCTGGACACTGGACAGGGACTGGAGTCATCTCTGGACACTGGACGGGGACTAGAGTCGTCTCTGGACACTGGACAGGGACTGGAGTCATCTCTGGACACTGGACGGGGACTGGAGTCGTCTCTCGACACTAGACTGGGACGGAGACTGGAGTCACCTCTGGACTTTGGACAAGGATGGAGACTGGAGTCACCTCTGGACACTGAACGGGGACTGGAGTCGTCTCTGGACACTGGACGGGGACTGGAGTCATCTCTGGACACTGGACAGGGACTGGAGTCATCTCTGGACACTGGACGGGGACTGGAGTCATCTCTGGACACTGGACAGGGACTGGAGTCATCTCTGGACACTGGACGTGGACTGGAGTCATCTCTGGACACTAGACTGGGACGGAGACTGGAGTCACCTCTGGACTTTGGACGAGGATTGAGACTGGAGTCACCTCTGGACTCTGGACGAGGACGGAGACTGGAGTCACCTCTGGACTCTGGACGAGGACGGAGACTGGAGTCACCGACGAGGATGGAGACTGGAGTCACTCTGGACTCTGGACGAGGACGGAGACTGGAGTCACCTCTGGACTCTGGACGAGGACGGAGACTGGAGTCACCGACGAGGATGGAGACTGGAGTCACCTCTGGACGAGGACGGAGACTGGAGTCACCTCTGGACTCTGCATGAGGACAGAGACTGGAGATTATGGTGTGGCGGCAGCCATCTTGGCAATGGGCTCTGGCGTGGCAGTCATGATGGGACAAGACTCTGGAGTGGCGGCCATGACGGGGCGAGACTCTGGAGCAGCGGCCATCTTGGGACGAGACTTTGGAACGGCGGGCATCTTGGAACTAGACTCTAAAATTAGGCCTTTTCCAGGCTCATATTAATTACACCATGGTGGTGTTGCAGACATACCAGTCCGACCTTCTCAAGGACCTGGATCAGGGTGAGGATTGACACCTGAGGCAGTTGCAGGACTCCACAGGGCCACAGACAGCCCTTGCCATCAGCAGATTTATGACTGCTAACGTTGCCACAGAGCTGCATCTGTGGCTGATCTATCGCAAGCGCATCTTTACAGTCATACCGACACACTGAGTGATGTCACATGACAGCCTTGGTATGTTTTTGCCTCAGACACTAATCCCCCCCCTTGTTGAGCTTGTCCCTCTGCTTCCTTATGAGAATATCTCATGAAGCCAGATCGGATCATTGTCTTGGAAATATGTATATAAATCCCCCTCCTCACAAAACATAATGTAGAAAACTTGCTGGCCACTATGGATTGGCAAAACAACTTCTCATACAGTCTATGCGCATATCAAGAGAAAGCAAAGCCTTCTGCAGCCTGTGCTGTCAGTGCAACCCAGTCTTCTGTTCGGGTTGCTGCTGGTTTTGACAGAAACCAGCAAGCAGTTTCTCTTGACTTCTCATTATTATTCCCCTTCCCCTTCTAGAGCTGATGGCAGAACTGTGTTGATGATTTCACCTGACAGAAAAGACAAAATGGGGGTTGACAAAATACAGCTGCTTTAAAGGATTAGTTTTGACCCAGTGCATAAGTGCAATGTATAATTAATGCCCTAAAGTACAAAAGCACACAAATGAGCAATACCTTTTTCCTGAAATCTTACTTTATGCGTAAATTCTAAAATAAATGTGTATAGTATGTATTTTTTACTGATATTTATGACATTTATAAGTTGGATTTCTGTTAATGCAAACTAATAGACTACATAATGCTAATTACTTTATTTACTTTTATCAAATGAAATTAATTTCCAGTATATAAACTATATTTTTGTACAGTCACTTGTGCATTTTATTAAATTTTTCTTAATGCATTTTAATGTGAAAGGGACATTGACATTTAGTTAGAAGTTAGAAGTTTGGAAAAGGTAATTGAAATTAACTTCATATCGTGTTTTTGTGTTCTGTTTTCTTTTTTCAAACAGTATCTGCTGTTATTTTCCCTGTTATAACTTGCAAATAAAAAAAAATCATATTCAAAATAATTTAAAAATCCATGTCGCAGCTTAAAGAGAAATGCATAGTGGAAATAAATATAAAATGTAAAAGACTACTCGTGTGAACAAAGGTAATCAATATTTCTGCTAGTATATAATGTGAAAGAAAAAAAAACCTTCCAGATTCAAGACCTTCTCCATACAGTTGTTCTGCTTTGTGCTTTTGACAGCAGAAAGGCATTATTACTGATTTATATTATATTAAAATTTAAAATGGCAGGGGGTAATGTCACCGCTCACCTCAGGATGTGGGCAGGGGACTGAAGCAGGAATGAGCAAGTCATTAAGCATGTCAAATCAAATCAACCCTGAAAGGAGGCATTATGCTCCCTAATGGAGATTTAAACCTCCAGCCGTCAGCAGTTTGTACAGCTATTTTACCTGGGCTCACCTGACTCCTTCCAGCCAAAGAACTTGTGGCATTTCCAGCCTCATTCTGCTGTTTCGCATTACTGGAGAAGCCAAGCAAAGGCAATTAGGCTCTGCTCTAGTGCCACACACCTCCCTCAAATACCCACATTAGTTTATTTAGTGTATTTCAGTCTTGTAAATACCAACCCTCCTAGCAAAGAAGCAAACCTACAAGCAATTTTTTCTAAAAAGAAAAGCATTTGGCATTTTGATTGAGTTTACTTTGAACGGATGATTCAGGGAATTGTGTTTTCTTGATATTCTCATTATAAACCTCAAACGCTCAGCATCCCTTCTAGTCTGCGGCTGTTTGCCTCTGTAGATCAAACTTCTCTTCAAAAACAACATGATTCTTACTCTTCAATTATTTGTTTGTGAATACGCCATGTTAAAATGTCAATAAGTTACAGAGAGCCAAGCAAGCAGTCGTTTGAATGTGCTGTGTCTTATTGGAAGCTCATTAGAATGATAATTAAACATGTGATTGGAACGACATTATGAGGGCATAACAAACCCTTCCTTAAGCCTCAGATTACCATGACGGGTTCGATGAATCAAAGCGAGTTTATTACTTTGCATAACTTTGAAAACAGAACTTAAGCCAGTGTATACATGTATTTATTGATTTGTTCTCCGCACTTTACCTTTCCTCTGTTGTCACAGTCCCTTATTCAAATCACCGTTCACCTTCATTTGCCCTGGATTGAGGGTTAAGGCCGATGAAAGCTCTCTAATTATCACCCTCTGCCACACATCAATCATGTTTCCCACAGACCTTGCAAAGCAACTGTGATGAAGACGAGGAGAATCCATTTGACCTGTCCAAGAGTGAATTAATTATCCAATTACTCCTCTCCAACTGACTGTGCTGCCTTGATAACTTCAAAGCTGTTTACAACTGAATATCTCCTCCAAGATAACAAAAGACCTCTCTCTGCTTCATAATCACCCCGCAGACTGGCCGACCCGCGTCAGATCTTCCTCTTGCTGTTTTCAGGATACTCTGGGCATCAAAGATGAAAGAGAAATCGACAAAAATGTTTTTAAAGGAATAGTTCAGCCAACCATTATCAGTCTGTCATCCTTTACTCACTTTAATGTGGTTTCAAACCCATATGACTCTCTTTTGGATCAGAAAAGGACATTTAGCAGGACGTTCTGGTTTTTCTTTTCCGTACCGTGAAAGTGGGTGAGTGGGGACTGCTGATCTCAAAATAACAAAAATCACCATAGAAATAACATAAAACAGACGATTGGAGAAACAGACTGAATTTAAGCTGTTATTTGTAGATGCATAGTAATACATTGAGGTTAACGGCTCAGACATTTGAAGGTAAATGTATCGCACCGTTGTGTGCAAAACATGTCTGTTTTATGTTATTTCTATGGTGATTTTTGTTTTTTAGCTCAGATTTCCCTCAGAGCTCACAAATTAGTAAGTAATAGCGCTCAGTTGAATGTGCTAGTTCACTATTAGCTAACTAGTATGATTGTATTTCTCCCAGAGAACTATACAGGTTCATAATTGACATGAATAATGCATCATTTATAATAAAAGGTAACGATAACCCACTAGTAATGACTCGAGTTTTACTACATTCTTCTAAAGGAACTACTAATTATTTATTCTAGTATTCTAAAGTGAAAAGCTTGATA